ACATTCCTAATTCAGGGTCTTCACAGGTTGCATTTTCTGCCTACAATCCTCTTCCTGCAATTTTTTTGCCAAATGACTTGCTCCCTTCATGTCCATCAGATTTCTGCTCAAGTGTCACCTTACACGTGAGACCCTCCCAACACTCCCCATGTTCCTTCCCTAACTTTTCTCTCACCAAATAACATACTATATGTTTACTTTTCAAATTGTTTTCTGTTTTCCTAATGACTACCTTACCCCATTAGAACATTAGCTCTATGAGAGCAGAGAAGTTTGGCTGATGCCCAAAAGTGGTGTCTGGTACATATTAGGTACATAACTGAGGTTGAGCAGTATTCATCAACAAATAAGAAGGATTAACACTTACATAGCACTCACCCTATATGAGGCACTGTTACAAACATTTACATATGTTAATTCATTTATCCTGACAGCAGGGTGTCATACAGTCTATTTGACAGATGAGGAACTGAGGCACAGAGAGGTTAAGCGACCAGCCAAGGTACGAACAGTAAGAGCCGGGATGTGAACCCATACTTCTCATCAATAAGTTGTCATCCATTGAGAGCCTGCTTCAGGTAAGGCAGTGTCTAGGCACTGATTACAGCAATGAACTAAACGGAGTCTCTCTGCTTTAGATTAATAGAGACTTAAGAAATAAAATAATCAAGCAGAATGGATAAATCTTAGCAGATCCAAGTTTGGATAAAAGATCAGTAAAAGCCATTTGGAGGATGATTGGGGAAACCCGAATGTCAGCTGGGTATTTATTATATTCAGGAATTACTGTAAATTTTGTTAGGTGTGACAATGGTAGTGTGGGTAAGTAGGACTATGTTCATTTTTAAAGATGCATGTTAAAGCATTAAGGGGTGAAATGTCATTAGGTCTTTATTTTAAAACATTCTAATATTTGATATCTTGTAGCTCATGGTGAAAAAGAATATGAAAATGAATATATGTATATCCATGTATGACTGAAGCATTGTGCTGGCCACCAGAAACTGACACAACATTGTAAACTGACTATACCTCAATAAAAAATTTTAAAACATCCCAATAAAAAACAGATGAAGCAAAAATGGTAAAGGTTAGCAACTATTAAATCTTTGGTGAAGGATAAATAGTTATTCATGTACTATTTTTGATTTATCTGAGTATTTTCACATTAAGAAGGTTTTAATAAACTACAAAAAAAGGGAAAATATTTTTTAAAGGTTTCTACTCTCATGAGGCTTATATTCTAATGAGAAGACAGCTGGCAATGCTTGTTGGTTAAGTGTAGGCATTTTCTTCCCCCTGCTTGATTCTGTAAAATCCAACTGCTGTCTCATCAGCAAAATTTCCCACCCAATGTTAAGTGAGGAATAACTCACAGTGAAAATCTGTGAAGCAACCCTTACCTGCCCTGACTTTTTCCTTCTTTGATCTCTCACCACACCTTTCCTCAAGACTTTAGTTTTGATCAAATTTTGAAACTCACTTTCTCAGTGAGATCCAAATTCACAGAATGAGTCTCCCATCTTAGACACGGATGTTGTATATTGCATCGTATTGGATCACAATAGATTTTTTTGTTTGATTGACAGAGCATCCTTTTTATGGAGTTCATTTGGAGAATAACTCAGGGAGATGGGTTTATTTTCCCTGCTCCACACACATGTATGATGCTTCTGAGTAGGTCCCTGGATCTAACGTCAGAAACTTCTATTTTGAAATTGCCTTCAGACTTGGCTCACCAGACACAGCAAGAAAATCAAATACTCTCTTAGCCTATAAAGTTTTTCTCCTTCTCTTCCTCCCTCCTCCTTATCTTTTGTTGTTACTTCAAACCCTTTCCGTGATTGTGAGTACTATTGTGCCCCTAGCCCAAGGTGCCTGGAAGAAAAGTTGGGCTGGGGTTGACTTGGAGCTAAGCTCTACTGTAAAGAAAAACCATCAGAATAGGGCTTTTTCAAAGGTAAAAGCAGCTTGATAAACAATTCTGAATTGTGATTCTTAACTACAATCGAGAAACTCCTAATTATTTGTCATTTAGATCTTTTGGCATGGGAGGGAATTCCAAAAATAGATTCCTTCACTTTGGAGAGAGCTTAAAGTAGCAACTGAGTTTAAAAGGTTGACAGTGAGCAGTTAGAGGTGGGACTATCTCAGCTGGTTCCACAACGACTTAAAAATGCAAGCCTTTAAGTTGGTGTAGTAGGCTCGCAGAACAGCTGGGAACACAGCGCTATCTGCCATTGACTTTAGAATGCAAAATTCGGGCTATCTTTTGTGGCAACGGTTATGCGTTTTTAAGCAGATGTCACTGATACTAGATATAAAACAACAATAGGGGTCCAGCCCTGGAGGTGAAGTCAGGGGGAAACTGTCCAGGCCCTTTTCTAAATGAAGCTCACCCAGGCTCACAGTATTTAAAAGAACACAGAGTGGGGAGGGCAGCGCTCAATGGTAGAGGGTATGCCTAGCTTGCATGAGGTCCCGGGTTCAATCCCCAGAACCTCCATTAAAAGTAAATAAATAAATAAACCTAATTACTCCCCCAACAACCCCCCCCCCGCAAAGAACACAGACACATAAGATTCCTTGCCTTTTATAATCGCTTACCAGAATTCAAAACTCTTTTGGGAAAATAAATTTCTGGCCATAGTTTTGTTTGTTTGTTTTCTGGAATAACAACTCTGTGTTCTAAAACAGTGCTAATTTCATATATTTTATTTCATTGTCTCTATAAACTAGAGATCTCCAATCTTCTGCTTGTGGACCAACTATGGCCCTCCTGAGATTCTTGGCTAAAAGATAAAATTTTAACAAAAGCAGAGACTCAGAAGTAAGGAAGATGAGAGGTTTCAGCTTTCTTTATCACGGCGCTCTGTTCTATTTTTGAGAGAGCTTTTATCATTACCTGGTATACTCTTACTGATGGTCTGCCTCCACCCGCCTAGAATGTAAGCTCTATGACGGTGGGCACCTGGTCTGAATTGCTCACCCCAGTGTGCCCCTGACAGCCCTTGGCACACAGCCAGTACTCCACAGATAGTGGCTGAAGGAACCCAGGGCGACAAATGCAGTGACAAAGGTAGGAGTAGGCTGCTGCGAGAGTGCAGAGGAGGCCGGACTAGTTTTTTATATGGGGATGAGCACATCATTAGGGGTCACTGTGGTGGTTTCATTTATTCATTCAACAAACATTTATTCAGAGTTCCCTGGCATGACATTGCGGTGGACAAACGGACATGGATCCTGCCCTCATTAAGCCTGTAATCTAGTGGGAAGTCAGACATTAAAAAAAAAATCATACAACTCAATATCTAGTTACAAATTGTGACAAGTATGAGAAAAGGAAAATACAGAATTATACAAACCGTGTCCAGTATTTTCATCATAAGCATCTTTGCTGTAGACGTCTTTACCGTAAGAATTTTTGCCACGTAACTAATTGGCCGTAAGGCAATTGTGCCATGAAAGATCGAATAACTGGTTGACTCTTTTTGGTTTGACAGTTTGGTTCCCACTGACTGAAATGCATCAGCATTTCTTCTGGTTAGTGACGTTATTGATGCCTTTATCCGGACGATGATTATTTTGCTGTAGAACTTTGCAACATCTACCAAAGGACATGTGGCAAATATGCCATGAATACATCAGTGTAGAGGCTTTCACAGCGCAACACAAAGTTTAGGCACAAACGTGTACCCTAGTGTTTGGAAACTGATACTTCTCTTAAAGAAGGAAAAAATGTTAGTGAAAAACAAAAAGCATGATGCCAAACAGGAAGATGAATCAACAAGCTAAAAAAAAAGTGTATAAAATCCTACGAATGAAAGACTTGGAAGACAAATGCTGAGGTACCACCCACAAGATAAAATCTGTTGTTTGCGCAGTATTGCCATGATCTACACACATTTTCAATACATTCAAATAGTCTGTATTGTGCAATAAATTCTTGTAAATTTTGTTATTAATTTCTCTTGTTTCATTATGTCCTTGTTAGTGTTCCTCTTGTATTTTTCATTATTTTACAACAAAATCGCCTTATGGCCAATTAGTGATGCGGCAAAAATATCTGTGGCGAAAATGCTTGCGGCAAAGATGACCTCGGCAAAGATGCCTATTGCCAAAGTGCCTACAACCAACACAAACAGTTGTAGAAAGGGTGCCACCTGACAGCTGCACAACCCTGTGAATATGCTACAAACCACTGACTGAACACTTTTTAAAGGGTGAATTTTACAAGATACAAATCATATGTTGATAAAGCTATTATTTTAAAAAGGGTACCACAGTGGTTAAGAGCACAGCTCTGGATCGCCACATTTCTGGGTTCATAATCCTGGCTCTGACCTTCGCTGTGTTCTCTCGGGCAATTTATTTAACATTCGTGAACCTTGGTTTCTTCGTCAATAAAATGGATGTAATATTAACATCTCCTTCTAGGACTGTTCTGAAGGTTAAACAAGTTAGTGTTCCCAAAGCATTGACAGCAGCACCTGGTGCCCAGAAGGGGTGAGCCGTTATCACTGCTGAGGAGGCAGGGAGGGAAGGGGAATCAGAGTGGAAGTCCACTCGATGGAGGCAAAGACAAGACACCTCTTGGACTCTATTCTTTGCCACCTGGGAACTTTACTTCTAGGGCTCCGTTCAAAGAAAGCTCTTTTGTCATAGAAATTGACCATGCCATCAACATACCTGAAACAACAGTGGCATGTATTCTCATTTAGAACACAATTTCCCATCCACACTTTTGAAAAAACAATTTTTTTTCTAACAGCTTTATTGAAATGTAATTCACATCTCTTAAATTCACCCTTTCAAAGCGTATTGTTCAGTGATGTTTAGTAGATTCACAAGAGTCGTGCGGCCATCACCACTGTTTAATTCCAGAACATTTCATCATCCCCCGAAGACACCTGACACCCAATAGAAGTCATCCCCAACCCTTCCTTCCTCCTTCCAACCTCCGGCCACCACCAATCCACTGTCTGTCCCTCTCTTCCTACCTTCACTTTTGGAAAGGCACGTGGAAATGAACCGTGCAGTTGTTGGGGTTGCCAAAGTTTACCCCCTGATTCCAGAGGGAAAATAAATGATTTCTGATCAATTACAGCTGGAAGCAACCTAAGTGAAAAAAAAATTTAAATCAAATCTGCTATCTTAAAAACTTCACAAATTGTAATTTAAAAACAATGCTTCCTAGTTAAATTGCATTTTGCGGGAACTATTCTATTGGTAATTACAATAAATTTGACCAAATTTAGCACTTTTACCACTATCAAGCTGCAGTTCTTTATTAAGCATAAGAATTTCCAAGTCTGATAACGACCATCATAGCATGAATAAAAAGCTCTATCTCTGGCTGAGTTTATATAACTCACAATTGACAGAATTACTACACTATAAAACATTTCTTGATTTTAAGAAAGTACAATACACTGTATCTTGTTTAATAGAATCAAGTCACAAGATAGCCAGTGTTAAATACATTCAAAATGCTGATCCCGAAGCAGTTCATCCTTATATTCTTTAAACTTTGGCTATTCTATGTAATTGCAAAGACTTAAGGATCAAAGGCGGTTAAAGGTCTTCCTTGTTAAGCAGTGAGCGGTCCGTGGGATAGCAACGTAAAAACAAAATAAAGTTGTAAGAATGAGTATATGTGTGTAATGCAGGTCTTAAAATTTTTCATTTGAAAGCGGATTCCAGTTACTTAAAATGGTCAACATAATAAGGTCAATTAAACTCAACAACCAATGACTCAATCTCTTGATTCTATGTGATGCTCACTTTAGTAAAATTATCATTAAAAAGCAATTTACGGACTTCTGGTTTCATTCCAACCTGTGACGAGCTGAGAAGTTATCACTCCAACCCTCAGAACAAGAAAAAGCTGAAGAAACTGAAAAACGATTGTTCTTAGATCCATCAAAGACTTGAGATCACAGAGAAAACTGCTGTCTTTAACAACTGGAGAAAGAGATGGATGAAGGCCAAGAGCAGAAACATGGGTTCGTTTGAGAGTTACGTGTGGATTAGCTTGAGAGTTAAAAACTGAGGGGCCACGTCTTAGGAGGACCTATACTTCCATGAGTTTGACCTGCAGGCACCCCACCATTCTCTCTGAGAAGATCAGAGAAAAATCCCCTACTGCTTCCAGCAGGGGAAAGACAGAAGAAAGCATTTCAAAATACTCCAAGAGTTCTGCTCTTTGTTCTGTTCTCTGCAAGGAAGGCTGGGTCTCAAGGAAAACTTTTGTACCAAAGCCTTATCTGACCTGAAGAAGGGCAATTAGCTAACTCCAGCCCACTCTAGTCTTCCTGTCTCACCTGGGTGGGGGGGAAATGCTGAGAAAACTCGTGAAGGTAACACTGCAGGGGCACAGACCCACTAAAAGATTGAGATCTAATCATAGGATTTGTGAATGCATCCACAGAGCCTCTGCATGCAGAGGATTACAGATGAAGGAACCATAAGGCTCGGACTCTATTCATGACGGAGATTCTAGGGAAACCCAACGACAATTGTCAGGGGGACAAAAACAAAGGTAGTCGGGGAAATTGAAGCCTCAGCCACCTAGAGTTACAGCAGACAGTAAACACAGCATAACCCCTGGCCAGACAAAGGCCCCTTACCTCACCCTAAATGCCTAGTACATTTCCTAATACCTAATACATGATGTCCAGCTTCCAGCAAAAAATGACAAGCCTTGCTAGAAGGCAAGAAAAACAAAAGGCAGTAAGCATTAGAATCAGGGTCAGATACGACAGAGATTTTGGAATTGTCAGACCAGGAATTTAAAATAACCGTGATTAATGTGTTAAGGGTACCAATGGAAAAAGTGAACCATATGCAAGAAGAGATGGGTAATGTAAGCAGAGAGGTTGAAACTTCAAGAAAGAATCAAAAGGAAATGCTAGAAATCAAAACCATTGTAAGAAGTGAAGAATGCCTTTGATGGGCCTATCAGTAGACTGGGCTGGGCCCAGGAAAGAATTAGTGAGCTGAACGAAATATCAATATAAACTTCAAAACTGAACTGCAAGGAGAAAAAAGAATGAACAAAGCAGAACAGAATATCCAGGAACTACAGGACAGTTATAAATGGTGTAACCGACACATAATGAGAATATCAGAAAAAGAAGAAACAAAGGAGCAGAAGAGATATTTGAACAGTAAAGGTTACAATTTCCAAAATTAATGAAAGATGCTGAACCACAGATCCAGGAAGCTCAGAGAATACAAAGGAGGAAAAACGCCAAAAAAATCTACACCTAGGCATATCATATTCAAACTATGGAACACCAGGGACAAAGAGAAAGTCTTGAAAGGAGACTGGGAAAAAAACTTACCTATGAAACAAGGGTAAGAATCACGTCCAACCTCTCTTCATAAACCATGCACGCAAGAAGAGAATGGAGTGAAATATTTGAAATGTGGAAAGAAAAAACCCACCAACCTGTAATTCTGTATTTAGTGGAATTACCTTCAAAAGTAAAGAAGAAATAAAGATGCTCTCAGACAAACAAAAACTAAGGGAATTTGCCACCAGCGGCTTGTCTTTCAAGAAATGTTAAAAAGAACTTCTTCAGAGGAAAGGAAAATAGTTATCGGTCAGATATGGGATATATGAGGCAAGCAGAAAATCCAAGGACCAAACCATCACATCCTCCCCTTATCTCCACCTTTCAAAGTCTTATTAAGTTTGTTTTATATATAACATCCAGGGTTTTCTTGTATTTACTCGACAGAATAGGGCAAAGTATGTCTACACCGTTTTCCTAGAAGTGAAACTCTCTTGGTGTATTTCTTTTGAATCCTTTTACCTCTGCAGATTATGTATTTAGGAGCGATTGGAACTGAGATACAATTTTGCATCTTCCTTTATTCCCTTCAATACATACGATGAGAATTTTTCCATGCCATTCATATTTCTTGGACCATATCAGTTTTAATAGCTATATAATACACATATACATGTTACAGGTTTAATCATTCTTTTACTGTTAATGTCGATGGTATTTCCAAATTTATTGCTATTAATTATAACACTTAAATGAACAAACTTATACAGAGATCTATGTGTACCTCTCCTTATCTCCTGGGTTAAATTCCTAGAGGTACAAGTACTAAACTAAAAGCAATTTAAAAGATCTTCCCAAAAAAGTTCAAAAATCTCCTTTAAGATGAGTGTGACGACTTAACACCTCCACCAGCGTTTATAGAAGTAGGCCCATCTTTCGGCCCCCTCATCAGCACTGGGTATTAGGGTGGTTTAAATGATCTGTTTTGCTAATTTGTTAAGAAAAATAAAAACATATAGCTTAATACGCATTTCTCTGGTTTACCAGTGAGATTAAAAATTTTGCACGTATTGAGTGGTTTTTTGCATTTCTGTCTCTGTGACTAGTTTATTGATGTCCCTTTGTCTAGGTCATGGGTTTTATTATTAGCAAGAGTGCTTTGTGCATAAGAATGTTAGCAATTTTTGTGTCCTATCTGTTGGAAAGTTTTTCCAGTTTGTTATTTTTTATTTTATGATGCTTTTTAAATTTTTTATTTTTCCTTAAAAAAAATTCAGACTCACAAAAAATTTGAAAGAACAGTGAGCATTCAAACACCCTTCTCCTGGATTACCAAGTGTTACCATCTTGTTACCTGTGCTTCAATCTCTCTCTGTAACCGAAATGTAGAATCATCCTGTATAAGGGGGATTTGTCTACTGCTTTGTAACAACCCAGAAGAGATTGGCTCCAAGGTGTTTCAATAATTGAGTGAAAATTCTGATCTAGAGGGGAGGAGGGTACAGCTCAGTGGTAGAGTGCCTGCCTAGCATGCACGAGGTCCTGGGTTCAATCCCCAGTACCTCCATCAAAAATAAACAAAAACCTCAAAATAAACTTTAAAAAAAAGAAAGAAAATTCTGATCCACACTCAGCATTTAACAAAAACATCTTCCTTCCTTCTCACTGTTTCTCACTATCATTTATTTGCTTTGTTCTTGTTTTCCGCCCCTCCTTAAACACTAATACTACAGAATATAAAATGAAAATTTCTGTGCCGTCCCTCCTAGTGTTGTTTGTGTGTGTGTGTGTGTTTTAATGAGGGGGAGGTAATTAGGCTTATTCATTGATTTCCACTTGGAGGAGGAACCGGGGATTGAACCCATGGCCTCGTGGGTGCTGAGCATGCGCTCTACCACTTGAGCTATACCTTCCCCCTACTCTTAGTGTCAATAAGCAAAGTGTGGTCATTATGAACAGTGTGAGCAGGTATCACAGGCAATAAAATCTGTGCAGGCCAGCAAGGGGAAGAGGAAGAACCACACTTTGACACAGAGGAAGAATCATCGCCAAAGTGGGGAATGTCATGAAACCTATCTTGAAAACAATACAAAAGCACTTTGAGCTCTTTGGAGAACATACACCACGTTTGACAGCATCCTTATTGTTTTCTGAATGACCGCTGGGAAAACCTTGCATTTGCTGGCATCCGTTATCATCAGTCTGTGCACCCACTGGGTTTTGTCTCTACTAGACCAAACTATCAGATGTTTTCTTGAGCAACACTTGCTAACAGGGAAAACCATCCCTTGTGCAAGCCAGGCTCCCTGGTTTTCAGGTAGCTATGGCGTACAAGAGTACTAGGTTGCAGATGCTTGACTGGACTTGCCTCTGGGCCTGACCATCAATGACCTGTGTGACCTGGTGTGAGCCTCAGTTTGCATACCATTAAAAGAAAAGGGTACATATCTATCTCATACGTTAAAAAATGAGTCCTTTGCAAACTGTCAAGTGTTTTAGAAATACTGACAATAATGATGAAATTCATAATGATGATAATGAGGATGATGTTGATTGGATATTTTTTCTAAATCATTTTTTTTAAACTGAAGTTTAGTTGATTTACAATGTTGTGTTAGTTTTTGGTGTACAGCATAGTGATTCAGTTATACATACACATATATATTCTTTTTCATTATAGATTATTACAAGATATTGAATGTAGTTCCCTGTGCTATATAGTAGGACCTTGTTGTTTATCTATTTTATATATAGCAGTGTGTATCTGTTAATCCCAAACTCCTAATTTATCCCTTTTCCCCTTTGGTAACCATAATTTTG